CATCTGTGGGAATCAAGGCCTTGGCAGAGACATGGTCAACAAGGGACTCGTCACAACCAAGAAAACCCCAAAGAGTAGCACTTATGAATACAAAAATCACGAGTGGCTCCTTTGAGGTGGTCTGAGAGCGACTCACATTCAGGAAAATCCAAAATTGGCAAAGTTGCTTCGGTCAAATGAAACTACTTCAACAAGTAGCACTTACTCAGTTCAACAATCAAGTCAGTGCCCTGGTAAAGGAAATAGAAATGACTGACAAATGTGTTCCTCACGTAACAAAAATCCTCTTCAATGATGATTTGGTGGACTTAGACAACTTCTGCCAATATAGGACAGCAACAACACCCCAAAAATTAGCACTTACTATATTCACAACTCATGTCAGTGCATATGGTAGAGTCATGCTGATGACCAATTTCTCAAATGATGTGTTCATTGAAAACTGCTGACAAACTCACACACAAATCCACCCTAAAGAGAAGTAGTTAGTGCATTCACATAGAAATTAATGCTCAAGCTGGGCCAATGAGACAGACATCTTAAGAGCAGTCTTCCTTACTTGCCTTCACCGTATTCCAAATGAATACTCCTGCTTTCTTCTGTGGCGTGTTCTCATCACAGCAACTGTGCTATTTATTTAACAGAGGTGCCCACCTTAAATAGAGAATGCAAGCATTTCCACCAGACTCCGCCCTGCTTTTCACATGGTTTCAATGGTCTACCTATTGTTCAGCCTAACCACCGTCCCATAGTGGCCAAAGTACCACCATCTGATATTCAATGCAAGCGGTTCCATGCTGATGAGCTGGAAGAGACATAATCAAGAGGGGACTCATCACAACCATGCCAACCTTGAAGAGAAGCACTTATGAATACAATCATCATGAGTGGCTTCTTTGAGACAGAGGACAGCAAAAACACCCCAACAATTAGCACTCACTGTCTTCCCATCTCAAGTCAGTGCTTGTGTCAGAGTAATGTTGATGATCAATTTCCCAAATGATGTAATCACTGAAACCTGCTGACAATCTCATTCAATCAACATAACCCCAAAGACAACCATTAATAAACACAAGAACCACCCGTGTCTCCCTGTGAGCTGAGCTGCATGCCTTCCACATCATATCTATCTCCAGTTACAGTCCAGAGCATTTTTCATGTACAACCACCCCAAAAGAGAAGCACTTTGTGAATTCAAAGACAATTTCATGCTCAAGTTTGGCCAGACAGACATCTAATAAGCAGTCTTCCTTACTTGCCTTCACCGTAGTCCAGATGATTACTTCTGCTTTCTTCTGTGCTGTGTCCCCCTCACAGCAACTGTGGCGTTTCTTCAGCAGAGTTGGCCACCTGAAATGGAGAATGCAAGCATTTCCACCAGACTCCGCCCTGCGTGGCACATAGTTTCAATGGTGTACCTATTGTTCAGCCGAACGATCGTTCCATGGTGGCCAAAGTACCGTCATCTCATTTTTAATGCGAGCTGTTGGACACTGATGAGATTGCAAAAGTATTTCAAGTCATGATTTCAAGCAGAGGTCAAAAACACTACCCCAACAAGGACCACTTGCTGCATTAAAAAACAAAGTCATTGCTCCTGTCAAGGTAATATTCATAACCACATTGAGTCATGACATGATCCAGGTTAAAACATGTAAATCAGAAAGCACATTTGTATCATCAACCCCACTTTGTTTCTCTTTGAACTCTTCTCTCATCTGTGGGAATCAAGGCCTTGGCAGAGACATAATCCACAAGGGACTCGTCACAACCAAGAAAACCCCAAAGAAAAGCACTTTTGAATACAATGATCATGAGTGGCTCCTTTGAGATAGAGGACAGCAAAATACCCCAATAATTGGCACTTTCTGTATTCACAACTGAAGTCAGTGCTTGTGTTAGAGTTCTGCTGATGACCAGTTTCTCACATGATGTAATCACTGACAACTGCTGACAAACTCACACAACAACCCCAACGACAAGCACTGATGAACACAAGAACCACCCATGCCTCCCTATGTGCTGATCTGCATTTCTTAAACATGACATCTATCTCCAGTTGCAGTCCAGAGCATTTGTCATGTACAACCTCCCAACAAGAAATGTAGCTGTCTAAGAGACAGGTTGTGGTGTGTGTTTGGTTTGTGTTTGATTGTCAGTTCATTGTTTTGCTGTTCATATATAATTGAGAACTGAGATGAAGAATGTAACAGATTGTTAAAAAATAGATCGCTTTAAGGTCCAGTTTAGTTAAGAAGTTGGGTACGCTGTGTCGGAGTTTTATTTTGACAAGTCAGGTCACATGACTAACTTTTAGTAAGGTTAAGAGAGCAGCATTGTGGGTCACAATCGGCATGGACAGGCAACAGAGACACTTAATAGAAGTTATCGCCATTCTGCATGTGGTTTAAGAGGCGCAAACGGTAATTATCTTTGGTTTATATTTCATGTATAATGGGGTATGATTTAGAGACTGAAAGATCCACAAATGTCTGTTTTTTAATGTGCATTTGTTTATTGTGTTTAGTTTTCACGGTGTTACGCGGTGTTTGACGAAGAGAAGAACTAAGAATAAACCTCCGTTGACATCAGTAAGAAGCACGGCCTTTTTTGTTAGACCCGTGCAGCTACAAGAAACCCTTAATGAATTCAAAGATAATCTTCCTCAAGCTGGGCCAATGAGACAGACATCTCATGAGCAGTCTTCCTTTATTGTCTTCACCATAGTGCAGATGATTACTTCTGCTTTCTTCTGTGCTGTGTCCCCATCACAGCAACTGTGGCGTTTCTTCAACAGAGTTGGCCATCTGAAATAGAGAATGCAAGCATTTCCACCAGACTCCGCCCTGCGTGGCACATAGTTTCAATGGTCTACCTATTGTTCAGCCTAACAATCGTCCCATAGTGGCCAAAGTACCGTCATCTCATTTTTAATGCGAGCTGTTAGACACTGATGAGATTGTGAAAGCATTTCAAGTCATGATTTCAAGCAGAGGTCAAAAACACTACCCCAACAAGGAGCACTTGCTGCATTAAAAAACAAAGTCAGTGCTCCTGTCAGGGTAATATTAATAACCACATTGAGCCATGACATGATCCTGGTTAAAACGTGTAAACCAGAAATCACATTTTTATTAGTAACCCTACTTTATTTCTCTTTGAACTCTTCTCCCATCTGTGGGAATCAAGGCCTTGGCAGATACATTATCAAAAAGGGACTCGTCACAGACAAGAAAACTCCAAAGAGAAGCACTTGTGAATACAATAATCATGAGTGGCTCCTTTGAGATAGAGGACAGCAAAACTACCCCAACAATTAGCACTCACTGTATTCACAACTCAAGTTCGTGCAGTGCAACGGATTTGTACAGCCTCCATCGTTCCACCAAGTGGAATATTGAACAGCTAATCATATACAACTTGTTGCCTTTTGATAGTATCCACATTAAACTTCCTTTACAATTCCCATAGTGGCCAGCCAGATTAATGTATTAATGGCATTAGCACTTTTCTGTACTTGTCTTTTCATCATCAAGCTAATTGATTCTGCATGTATCCGTGACATGTCTGCATCATCGTAGGTGAGGAATTTCTTGAACAGGTTTTGGCATGATGCAAATTTTCAATGTAACCATTTCCACCCCAGTCAACCTTGTTTTGCATAGTGTTTAATTCATGCATTTTTGTTATATATTGCTAATTCATCTTCCATAGTTCAGCTATTTCCTGATACTGACGGCATGGTGACGCGTCTCTTAGTCCCCCTCCAGCCCAGTAGGCGGCAGCAACGTTCCGAACTAACATTTAATCAGCCACCATTTCACAGTAAAAGAAGTAAAGCAACTGAAACGTGTATCAGCTGAGCTGGCTGATGAGAAAATACTGTTCCACAGTTTAGAGTATTCTAGTAGACTGCAGGGATGGAGAATGATATTCTTGTGTCTCTTGAAGATTTGGGGTGAGTTCACTTTCTGTGAACTAAAGATGTCATGAATGTCCTGATCTACGCTCTCAGTCAGCAGCTCCAGTCTGTTGTCGCCAGCGCAGTGCAACATAGCTTACTGTAGCTAACCGGCTAACTGGCTTTTGTCGTGGCTGTAGCAGTGATGGATTTTTTCATTGCTACGTGTGAGCATCTTAGTTCTCCGTGTACACATCGGTGTGAACAGACCTACAGTCTGATTTTACATGTAATGTTAGAAGCTGTGTCAGCAGAAGCAGCTCCGGTATAACGTCTGGAGAGCTCCAACGCATTCCTCTGTGTCAACCCCACCAAGAAACACTTTCTGAAAAGTGGGACATGAATTGGAACAAATGTTTTGTAGTTAGTTTCTTAAATTAAATGAACAGGTCGTTTTTCAGTTTCTTTGCCGTCTGTATGTTGGACACATGTAACCTGATTTAGTGCTTTGACTCCATTGGTGAGACCTGGCAGGAAGGCGTCAGTGTTCTGACTGAATATGGCTGCAGTCATACTTATGCTCACTGCTTTGCTGCTGATAAGGGCATCATGAGACACGAGTTGTAACTACAGACTGTTGAGGATTTTGTGTGTTTTACCCTGAGCTCTGTGTGCCACTGCAGGTACCAAGGCCCTCTGTTGGAGGAAGGAGCTCTGGACTCTGCTGTGAGCGGCGGAGCAGCTTCACCTGAGTTCACTAAGCTCTGTGCCTGGATTGTGTCAGAGCTTCGAATCTACTGCAAACTCGAGGAAAATGTCCATGCCACTAACTGTAAGACAGCTTTATCCACTGTTTAACAAAGTTGTTCCTGTAGCCAGGTTAATGGAAAGTTTTGAATACTCAGAGAATAGTTACACATCCAATAAGTTTCCTACATTTTGAGGGCTGATCATAAAGTTAAAGACCATTTCTTGTCCACCGGGTACATCATGGTCATGTGCATGCAGCTTGTGCGAGTAGTAACTGTTACGAGTCAGGATGTCTCGGGACTTATGTTTTCAACATCAGGACCTGATTCTGCTCACACATGTTGCACGAGCGTGGTGTATTTAGTGCATGTGCACAAGGAACAGCAACTGTATAATCATCCTTCATATTTCCTTTTTTTGCTGGGTAAAAGTTTATGACAGAGGTGAAGATTTTTTTTCTTTTAACAGACTCTAGAAGAAGAGAAAAGTCTACATTTGGATATTTTTTTTTTTATCACTGTTGTCATGTATAACTTCTACATGGAAGAAGGTGAAGAGCTGTATGAGTCTGTAGCAGCTTAGAGGAACACCAGACTGCATTTCTGCTATGTGTGACATCTAACTAACTGATTAATCTGTCTTTGTTGCATCATATGTTTCATTTTGTCCTTCTGCTTGTCCCAGGTCCGAGTGAAGCGGAGAGCTTCCAGCTGGAGATGAGCGGCCTGCTGTCAGAGCTCGTCTGTCCTTACCTCGTCCTTACCAGCGGAGACATCACCCAGAGGCTCCTCAGCAGGACCGATTGTGTTCTGCTCCTCAGTATGATAACAGCCAAACAAAATCTCTGTTTACAGAACATCTCAGACATTTCTCGGTGCTGCATTAGCCTGAGGGCAAACAAGATTTCAAAAAATGATCAAGCTTTATGTAGTGCCACACCCACTCTGATAAATCCCCCAAATTAAGATCCCAAATATCCCAAATTAAGACCTGGTGTAAATGGGTCTCAATTGTTCTATATTGTGATGTGCAGTGCTTTACAGCCTGTTGACAGAATGTAGTTTCCACCAGGAGGCACTGTAAAAGGCCTGTGGGCAGTTTGTTGCACGACCACATCAGATGTATGCAATATTTTTGACTGTTGGGGGAAGTTGGATAAAACTCCATGTGGCCATCAAACTACATGTCTTTCTAAACTTAATAAACAGTTCTACTTACTTTCCTATCATAATAGAGAAGAGAAATGAAGGCTGTAAATCTCACACAGTCTGCATCTGCTGCAGGCAAAATAAGTGACTTCATCTGCATGTGGGTGTGCCACAGGTGTTGTGACGCTTTAAGGTTCCATACCTGTTGCAGGTATTTCTATTGTGTTGCTTGTGTTTGATGCTGGAATCAGTTTGGGTGTTGGTTTTAAGTGGGTGTGAAACCTTTGCCAATTTGGAATTAGAAAAATTATTGTTCCAGCATGTTTTGTCATCTAGTGTCATACCTTCTACTCTGCCACTGCCAAAGTATGAAGTGCACCATTGCCTTGACAGACTGTTTGCATGACCACTGTTTGTTAATTAGGTAGATCAGAAGACTCAACAGCCTGTTGTGGGGCTGAATGCTGGAAGTTTGTGGAACTTTTATGTCTTGCGATTGTGTGACCTCACTTAATACCTCGCATAGCTCTGACTAGCTTCTACCTGAGCCGATGTGTGGCAGTGGCAAATGAGTGTGTAGAGTCTTCAGAAGCTCTGATCTTTTTTCAGAGCATATATTTTTACTGGTCATAGCTGAAAAAGTATGTGTGGAGTTTATACTGTTTCAGTTAATAAGCGCACACAACACCTGAACCTGGTTTATTTATTGCAGCAGAGTTTTGTGACCATGACATGCTGAAATATCTACTGTGTATGAAGAATTGTTCAGCTTTTAAACTGGGCAGCAGTTAAATTTCAGTCAAGCAAATCAAGTTTATTGTCATTTTGCTGTACATACAGCAGTAGGACAAACAAGATGAGAGAGCGTTTCTTCATGATCCTAAAACTAAAACCAATTAAATAAAGAAGTATTTGCATGTCTGGATCAGCAGTTCAGCATTCTGACAGCTTGTGGAATGAAGCTGTTGATCAGTCTGGAGGTTCTTCCTTTAATGCTCTGGAAACGTTTACCTGATGGTAGCAGTTCAAGCAGTTTATGGAGAGGGTGTGAGGAGTCCCTGACTCCTTGTTGGTTAAGGATGTCTCTCCGTTGTAAGTTTTGCGGAATGAACGTCTGGGATAGACAAGACACTCAAAACTTGACCCTCTCGCTGTCTCCTGAAGGGACCACTGTGTGCATGCGTGCCACCATCTCTATAGAAACATAGAGATGATAGAACTCTTGTATAGAACTCGTAGAACACAGAACTCTTGACCACTCACGCTGCAGCAGCTCACACTGAATCCAAACACTGCACCCACCAGTCCATTTTATCTGTTGACAAACTTCTTTTAATCAAGACGACCTAAATGTAGACAAGAAACAAGATAGCGAGTGTAACTTTGTGCAGTTCTGCTATGAATGAAAAGTGACAAGAACAATATCGAACAGCAGATGACTAACAAGATACAGAGCATTTTCTCTGTCTGTTGTGAGTTTTATGTTACAGTTTCAGCCTTGAAACATTCTACTCCAATAATATTAAAAACAAGGTTACTACAGGTTTTTTCCCAGCTGCCACAAGGGAAATCTAAATCTGAATGCACAGCTGACCAAAATATCTGAATTGTCAGAAGTCCATCTGATGGATCATGGGACAGATCATTGATTGCTGAGTTGGTAAATCATTTGTCGTAACTGATCATCTACATCTAACGACACCGAGCTTAACAGAAATTTGACTCAACTGTAAGATCCTGTGGAGGGTGACCAATTCAGGGCTAAAACTGAGCTGTGTATAGTGTCAGCCTTGCTTAAAAAGAATGGAGCCATCACCAGTGTTATAATTATACCCCTGCGTTTCCTGCTATAAATAATCAAAATGTTTGTCTTAGCACACTGCATTTAATAATTCACAACAGATTTTAAAAATCACTTCTATTGAAACTATTTTAGATGCAACTTTCTGAAAGCTTGGCATTCTGTAACAGCATTAAGAAGGTAATCAAATCCCGTTTCTGTGTCTCAGCTTTTCTGGTGTCTGAGTTGGAGGCATCGAGGATGATCCTGGTGAACAAGCCTCAGCAGAAAGCCCAGGAGTCTGGCAGCCCCGTGTTCCAAGAGCTGAAGGGTATCTGCATGGCACTGGGCATGTCCAAGCCTCCAGCCAACATCACCATGTTCCAGTTCTTCAGTGGAATAGAGAAGAAGGTCAGTTGGCTTGGTGACACAGGGAGGGGGTGTGCACTCACAGCATAGACAGCATCTTGTAGAGTTGACCTGTACTTCAAGGTGGCGCATATCTTTTGTTTCTGGAAAAACGGATACTGTGGAATTATGGTTTCTATGGGTGCTGACCAATGTCAACTTTGAATGCAGACAGTTGTGTATGCATGCGAGTACTATACTGTGACACATTAGTTGACTGAACAGAGATGAAATGCAGGTAGTGGTGAAAGTCTGGCAATTAAATCAAACCATGAGGCATTTTTTTCTTCACTAGTCCTCTGGCCTTGTCCCACCACTTGCGGTCGCCACCGTTCTCAGCTCTGTAATGACTGACTGGTTCTGGTTGTGCATTAAAATACACAGCATTAGTAAATCATCTCCATATCAGTTTAATAGAAAAAAGAGAATGTCTGTATTTTTGACTGTACTGAAAATCAGTCACCTTCTAATTACTCTGTTATACCTTAGTGCCTTGATGTCCAACAGTAGAAATAAAGCTGGAAGAGCATCTGTCAAACAGCTGCAATTGATGATGAGCTTGAAAAGACAGACAAAAAAAATGAGTTTGAACTTCAAGAGGCTGACAGGAGAGAGCATGAGTGAGTGATTGATCGATAGGAGTTACATAAAGGTGGTGTGTTTTACGTTAATTTTTAAAATATTTTACTTTTGCTTGAGAAAAGGCTTCAGTGATGAGGACTCGCTTCTGTTTCCTATCCCCAGCAAGTCTTTTTCAAAACAGATGCTGGATAAAGGGGCTTAATTTTACAACTCAACTTACACAAATGTTGTTTTTTTTTTTTCTCAGCTGAAAGAAGCTTTAAGTCGAGTCCCACCAAATCACACAGGAGAACCTTTGTTGAAGAAGGCCCTTGGACCTGTGCACTTGGTAAATACTGAAAAGTTGTGAAGAAATACACCACAGTCAATGAGCACTGCAAAACTGAATGATTGACTTTTCTTTGTTTTGTTTTTTTTCATTTGTTCAGGAAAAAATTGAAGCTATAAACCAAGCATTAGTAAACGAGTATGAAGTTAGACGGAAAATGTTGTTGAAGCGTCTCGATGTGACAGTGCAGTCCTTCGGCTGGTCTGACAGAGCAAAGGTAAGTAGGAGCTTCACATCTTGATAAAATCTGACACTACACAGAAATAAAGCATTTCAAACAGGAAGTGTAGTAGACTTGTCTGTACAGCTCTGCTTTTTGCACATCTAAAGAGAGGAGTCGATTAGGCATGAGAAGTTTGTTGAACAAGAAATGTATTTCCATAGAACAGTGGAAAAGGTCAAACATACGCAGTACACTGAATGCATGGAGACAGTTCATTTAGTGTTGGGGTTAGGAGGATGTCGAATTCTAGGTTTGATGCGTTACATTTCTGCTGGGATTTAAGATTTATTTTTTCAATTAGTTTACCACAGTTTTAGTGACTCAGTATAATAAAAAAGACACATTCCACTGTCCATAAGCACCATTGATAGGGATGCACATTTCCATATACAATAGTCAGTCATATTAACAATCAATAATCTTTCGGCAAAATATATGAAACACAGTGGACTTTCAATATGCTGATAGCGCAGTTTTTAAACACTGACTGATATGTTTGCACAGATGACTCAATCTGAAAGAAGTCTGAAGAACACAAAGAAAACAGCAGGATCCTTGAATTTGTTAAATACATATGATTAATTATAAAAAAAATTCTGACTTCGTTCAAAACTGTTTAGCAAATGAGTTGCTGTCTTCCATGGTAAATGACCTTTAACCTTTTTAATCTTTTCACTGCAGTTTGATGTGTGAATAATCCACTGAGTTGATTTCCATATTAGATTGATATACTGGGAACACTTACTCAGCTGGAGCAGATCTCCACAAACCCTCTCGCTGCAACTTTATCAGTCAGGGGAAATCTGTCAGTATTTACTGCCGCCTTTAACATAGATTTCTACTTGGAGCAGAACGTCACTAAAACAGTTTGAATGTTATTGGAAGCATGTAACCAGACTCCAGATGCAAATGAACATGAGCAGTGTTGGCAACTACAGCGGCTCTGTGCTGACAGTGTCGTGTTTGAAAATAATAGCTTTGTGTTAGCATGAGCCACATGTAGCTGGCTAAACCAGATAGACACTTTTTATTAACATGTTACTGATGATAGACATGCATGTCAGAAAATGTATTGTAGTAGCTGGTTTCACCACCAAGTGGAGCCTCTTACTATTGGAGGAGATATAGTGTTTGCTATGGCAGTCGTGTTGATGAACTTTCCAGCATCATGTGCTTAAAAGGTTTCTGTCCGGTTGAGGCTCATGCTAACACTAAGCTAGGATTTTCAGTTACTAATAGAGGCAGGGAGACATGAGCCTTTCAGCACAGAGCAGCTGTAGCTGCTAACACTGCTCATGTTCGTTTGCATCAGTAGTCTGGTTACATGTCATCATATATGAGATCATATGACATCTTCTTATTTCAGGAGAAGGTCTACAACCCAGAATATATTTTGTTTGTCTATAAAGTCATGAAATGCATGGAAATCAAAATGGTTACAGATTGTTTTCTGTCAATTGATCAATCAACTTGGTGTGAACATCATATTCTGATCTGAGTGCAGCCTTCACCAGCATCGTTGACTTGAATCTCCTTATAGCATCTGAAAACACTCATTCTTGTTTAGATTAATGTCTTCAACAAGATTTGCAGTATCTAACCTCTGCTTACCTGTAATGAAAACATGTTTCTTTTATCATTGCTAAAGTATTGTGTCTTGACCACATTGTAGAATAATAAATGGACAATATGCTCAAATTACTGCTTTCCAGAAGTGAATGACATTGCTTTTTTAAATGTCTTATTACAGACACATTCAGACAAGCTGAGCAAAGTTTACCAGCCACTGCGTTCTGCCCTCAACACCAAAAGTAAAATCTCTGTTTCCCACCTTCTGGCTGCTCGGCAAGACTTCTCCAAGATTCTCCGCACAAGCTCTGGAAAGATCAGAGAGAAGACTGCTTGTGCCATTAATAAGGTGGGTTGCTTCCAGTGCTCACACCTTTTTTTTTCTGTGTTATGTATATTCTGTTTTTATTCTGTGCAAAAGGCCATGTTCTCATGACACTGCGATATGTAGTCTATATGAATATTTGCATATTTGATGTGTGCTGAAGCAGACGGGGTAATTATTTAGATTTCTCACGGCTTGTATATTTTTAGCAACAGAATCAGTGACTGTCAGTTTTATCTCTGTGACATAAAGGCAAGTGTGTCTTCACATTAAGGCAAAGCTGGAGATTTTGCATGTAGACAACAGTTTTTAGCAAAACACTAAAACCAACAATGTGTTATTGTATCACTAAATAACTAACAACTTTCCTGTTCTGTCTCTGCCATAAACCCATGTGCCTCTACTGAAGATGTACATTTTGAAAACGATGTCTAGTTTTTGGTCATTATCATCAAATTATATTGCACAATGTTGATTTGTTAGGACAAATATTTGGTTTTATGTCAAAAGTAAGGAGGATTCAGGACATATTCGCTCATCATGTCATCAGTTTAAGCACTGAGCACTTCTTTGGGATTCTGCAGACAAATCTACTTCACTGGAACTTACCCCTCTAGTAACATGTGTTTATTCACACTGACCTCAGTTTTGACGTGGCTTGTTTGAGGAAGATTCTGTAACAGGCTTCACTTGGAGTGGTCTTATTTCAATACATGTCCGTTCCTCAGGTTCTGATGGGTCGAGTGCCAGACAGGGGAGGCCGGCCGTGTGAGATTGAGCCTCCACCCCCAGAGATGCCCTCCTGGCAGAAGCGTCAGGACGCTCCCCAAGGCGGAGGACACTATGGTGGGGGTGGGCATGGAGGTGGCAGGGGGGGCTACGATCACTACTCCCAAGGTGGCCGCGGAGGTTATGAGAGAGGAGGCGGTGGAGGACACGGAGACAGGGGAGGTAGAGGAGGAGGTGGCAGAGGGGGGAAGGTGCAGGGAGGCTGGGGAGACGGAGGTGGAGGAGGGAGAGGTGGTTACAACCAGGGCCACTATCAAGATGCAGGAGGCCATCAGGGAGGTGGAGGGAGAGGAAGTTATGGAGGAGGAGGAGGAAACCACCAAGGAAGCTTCCAGGACTCCGGCTACCATGGAGGAGGCGGTTACCATGACAATTATCACCAAGATGGAGGCTGGCATCAGGAGAGAGGCGGGGGAAGAGGACGAGGTGGTAGGGGAAGAGGAGGCAGAGGAGGACAAGGAGGAGGCTGGGGAGGGAGAGGGGGTCAGAGTTTTAACCAAGGAGGACAGTTTGAACAGTTCTTCCAGCATGGCGGGCAGCACTACAACCAAGCTGGCTTTAATCAAGGCAGACACTATACTAGTTGAAGATACAGTTTGAGGGCATCGCAGCAGAGTCCAGATGGACTACTTCTCATTCATGAACTAATCTGAAATGCCTTATCATCTGAGCTTAAATTTTCAGCATGCTTGAAGTTAACTAAAATGTTAAATGAGGAACTCCGACATACACATAAACAGATACTGTATACATTCACTGTAGACTGTTACGGAGTTCTAAAGTCCTTTCGCTTTTTCTTTCAGTGTGTTTTCTTTGCCCGGTCAACATAGGTTTTCTAATCAACAGTTCTGCTATAAATAGTTAGTCGATTACTTGGACTCTGCTGTTTTGACCTCAGCTTGATGCATAATTCGCCTTATATTGAAAATGTGGGACACTTTTTTTGAAAACCAGAAAGGTTCCTAAAGTTTCAGTGTTGCTGCACCTACTGTGTATTGGACATCAGAAGTGCACATCGTTATTACATGTAGGATTCTTGAAATTCTTATAGTTTCATTGAATTTAATGACTACTTGAAAACATTTGAATTTTTCCAGTCTTACTTTGTTTCAATAGATCTGGCTGGAATCTCCTTTGTTACTTATTTAAAAGATGCCATCTTGTACTGCTCATAGAAGATTGTGTGCATACGGATATGGATGTTGGAAGGTTTGCATGGATGTATGAATGAGCAATAAAAGCTTAAATTAAAATTTTATCTCTTTTTCTTTCAGTGGTCTGATTATCTAATTCAGGAAACAATTAAATGTTATAATTGGCTAAATAGAATTTTTGCAGATGGCTCAATTTGAATTTTAACTGCACATGCAGGTGCATAGATCTGCATATTCACACAAGTAAATCTAAATAACAGTCTGAGATATATATTGTCATTCTGAACTCACATGGCTAATGGCATATTAACAACCCAAAGCTCACATACCTTGGAGTTGAAATGGTTGTGATACTTCCAGGTCAGGGATGTTAATCAGACCTAAAAATCAGACCTAAAAGCTGTATTATAAGTATGTGATCGATATTTACAGATGTCTGTTTTAGTTTCACATAAATAGCTTCATCATTACTCCTCCTGTCTTTGTCCAGAATGGGAACATTGCTGTCCTCAAAGGAGTTGCTTTAATAACTTGGATGCAGTTGGACCGATGAGTCTTGTGCGGAATAGCTGGCTCCACAAGTGCATGGCTTAATCCCGCATCTAAAGAATAGGAGACACTCCTGTCTTCATTTTGGACAAAGACATCTCTGATGTGGCAGTTTCACAGCCATGCCCACCTTGAGATGTGAGCCTTTGGTTCATAAGCCATGGGTTTGGGGATGACAGAATATATCAGAGACTCCCCATCAGTCACCTACAACTGAGGAAGCCTCTTGGCTGAGCGCTGAAGTCCGGAACCTAATAAGGGATGTCAGTTAGCGATGATTTATAATATAGATATATGGCCACGTCAGCAAATCGTTCATAGTTGCATCATAGTCGAACAGCATTGAAGGCGCAGCAGTCAGTGCACCAACCAAATGAGGAAGTCAAAGTGATTTACACATGCATTCATTATAACATTACTTAATACTGCCTGAAGAGGCTTTTATTTTGTGTTGGGTCCAAGGGCGGTACCACTATTCTTAGTCAAGTATATCTGTGCAAGCATGTTATATTTTACATTACATACAGAATGATTAGCTCTGACACGAGACTTCGTGTCACAAAGTTCGTGGTTTAAAACATTTTGTGACTTACAACTTTTGACCAAATGTAGACCTTTATTTTGAAGGAGTCACACGGGATGTTTTCCATTGTGTCTTGTATTTCCGGGGGCAGCTGCTGTTGGTCAGACGTGCAGTCAACCAGAGCCACAGTTCGGCTGCAAGAGAGCCACATTTTACTGTAAAGTGTATTTCTTCCTCCAAATACTTTCTTCCTCGGTGTAACTAACGTTAGCATAGCCTCATGAACTTTAACATGTACCACTCGGATAAACCGGCGCGCCGCCCGCCGCCATTCGGACCTCCAGTACCCCGTGGTCCTCCATTCGGATTCGGGGGACCCTGCTCTGTTCCTCCACCCGGACACCTACCCACAAGACCCTTCGGACCTTTCTCGGCCTCAGCACCGGATAGCTATTATCTCCGCAACACGCAGCCAAGAGGACATTTCATGAGAGTACGTACCCAAGGCCAGTAGAACTGGCTTAGCTCAGTTAGCTAGCTTAACAAGCTAGTAAGCGAGCAGTATGGGATGCAGTGCAGAGCAGGGCTCAACCTAAGCACGGTTTGATCTCGACGAAATCAAGAAAAGAAAAAAAAAAAAAGCATTTGCAGTCATGTTTTTATGCAAGCAACATACACACCTCTATTAGACATGAACACTCAGAGCTTGTGTGTAGGACCTACTGTCATTGTACACTGTTACAGCTGACGTCAGCGGCCAGTTCACCAACAAATAGCTTGTTAGTCGTTAAACCTGCAAGAAAAGTCAATTTGAAATACAGTCATGCAAAACCAATCTGCCTATGTACTATAGGTGGATACTGTTTGTAGATGTAGGATTTATAAATATCCGTCCTTCATCTAACTATCCGTCTATCATGGATGGGATGATCAATGCAAAGATGATAGATATGTGAATGTTATGCATCCATCCATTTCTTTCATGGTAGGTGATGGGTAAATGTGGACTTGTGGACATTTATTTCCCTGTTCAACTGTGTGGTCTATTTATCCATCATCTATCGGTTAGTCCTTGATTAATATAAATGAGTGGACTGATGGATCTAGATGAATGGCGTATATTTCTAATAGATTCTAGATAAAAACATCCAATCCAAATATCACAAACATAACAACAACATATACAATATGTGAATGCTAACAAAAAACTGTTTGTCAGACACTGACAAATAGATTTTTGTCCACCAGGTAGACAGCATGCATTAAAATAGTATAATATAAACACATTTATGAGCAACAAAACAACACATTTTGGAGCCTAAACTGTAACAGAGCTTAGTCTGTTGCATCGATGTCTCATTCTGTGGGGGGAAAAGAAGTTTTTATTTTAATATTGTCACAGATTTTGGGCTCTTTGGTCACAACACTGTGTTATACCTAACCCCACTGTGTGGAGGTTTTCTCTAGCCAAGCTAGCACTCTATGAGTTGCTTACATGTTTCAAAAGAGTGGTATGCTTGAAGCAGCACGTATGTTATTAAGATAATATGAGGCTGGATTTGGTACTTTGCACATACACGTCAGTAATCGAAAAAGTAAAATAAGGATGTTTACTTGTATGCCACATTAGATTTCCGATAAAACATTCACATACTCTGAAAATGTGGGTGCCCTCTTACGGTAATATGGCAAACTGAGCAGAAGCACATCCTGCTCACCCTGGCTAACTGCCACAGTCTGTTCCCTTTGACTAGGGCTGTCACAGACCACTATTTTACTAATTAGTTCATTCATCTAAATGATTAATTTTCCTCCAAAAAACATAATGACCATTTCATTTAAGTTTATTTTCCTTTGATGAACTATATGTGATTGTTTATTGCGGTATAGTACAGAAATTTAAAGGTTTAAATGTTAAAGTACAACACGTTAGAGTCAGACTAGTGCCAGCATTATGAAAATTAACAAAAAGAGACTCATTATTTAAGTTGTAGTGCAACTACAAAAGAAATACATGTTTCTGTCAAACCTCTTAACAAAGTGAAAAAGTTAGTCTTTGTATTAAACAGAGTAGAATATGGATATGGTGAATATTTTAAAAACACAAAGCAGCTAAAGCTACTTCTTTTCTACTTATTGTGTAATTGTTCTCCTGTCCGTTCTTTGGCAGTAGTTTGGAATTTTGGTGAAAGATAGCAGACTTCGCAGCACAGCCATTGTCTTAACTTCTTTGTGTAACTAGATTGTCATACAACATTATGGTAATAAAATCAGGGTTTTAGCTGTGCAGAGCAACAATTTGGAAGTGACGGCTGGTTACCATGTTGTCTTTATGAGTCTCCTTTTAGTGACTGTTTCATAGTTGTTCTATTGTCTGGCAACAGAAGCAGAAGAAATGTGCTAACAGAAACAGCTTCATTGAGAACTTAGCTGTAATACAAAATGTTTACATTTTGTATATTTGCAAAAGGGTGCTTGGTTGTCTGTCTCTAAGTGTAGCCCTGTGATAGACTGGTGACCTGTCCAGGGTGTCCCCTGCCTTCACCCTAAGTCAACTAGGATAGGCTCCAGCCCCCCACGACCCTAGTGAGGATTAAGTGGTGTGTAGATAATGGAGGGATGGATATTTGCAAAAGGAAATTCTCAAAAGTAATTTTGAGAGGTTTGTATTATCTCCTCTTCCTCAAAGTAGTTGAAGGTGGATGTTGACAGACCATGAACTATCGGCACTAACAGATGGAGGGCATTTTGAGTGATGCTACCCACCCACTTGGGTGCATTAACATCTCCTTCACATCCTGCTCCTCTTCATCCTTGTCAGTAGTGAATCCATTTCTTTTATTCGCATGTTATGCAACTTAGCCAACTTAATGTAATATAGCAAGAACAGCTGAAAGAAGCATAGCATAGGATTGTTGTTCAAGTGGCAAAGCTAGAGAGTGGTGTTCTCAGCCACAACACGCTGACTTATTTCCTATGCATGTGACTTCATCTGTGCATCCTGGATACCATGCAGTAGCAACAGACGACAGACTGTGCGGTTGATTTGTTAGAACACTGTCGATCGAACACTTCTTTATGAATTACATACCTGTTCTATATCAACAAAGGTAAGTTTGCAGAAGCATTTTTGTTTCTTTTAAAGCAATATAGCCAAGGTTGTTTCTAAGCTTTTCCATGCTACGTATTACCTAAGTTTAAACTGTCCTGCGGCCGAAAAGATTTTTAATTGTATTGGTACAAGTATTCGTACTTTAAGACTAGTTTATGCCTCTGTTTTGTAGTATAATGTAGAAATTATCCACTTTTTTGTTGTATATGTTATATTATATTATATTATATTGTGTTATATTATATTATATTATATTATATTATATTATATTAACAGGAGATGTTCTTCACATTGATTCCTATATTTTGCAGGGTAAAATAGAAATGAACGAAGGATTGGCAGAGCACTGGACGATGCAGAAGTGTGTTTAAAAATAATGGAAAAAAGGAAAAATCTTGTAGATGTACAGAAGAACGCATGCTGCTGATGTATCGTGATTTGGATTGCATTGAATGAATGACATCATCTGGCAACAGATGGGGTTTGGGGGGCTGAACTGAGAATGAAGAGCCCAACATCTAAAAAGGCTTTCAAAGCAACGGTCAAAACCAAATATGAGAGCCAGTTGGTGATTGCTGCTTTTGCCATAGAGAGGAATCCACTGGATATGTGACTCAGGTTCATATGCCTTTTTATGCCTTTAAATGCTGTTGTGACAAGGATGTTGGTCATATGTTGTGAGTCTGTTTTAAAAAAAAGACCTGACTTGTTTCTGTACTTTTGTTGGCAAACAAGGGCAGAATGCATTTATAGGCTTGGAAATGAGATGAAATGTTGATAAACTTGTCAAAGTAAGCACAGATGAAATATGAGTTTTTATTTTCACATCCATGTTACAGTTTCTGATGTTTAATGCGCATGGTCCACATCACATAATGTATTTTATTTATACTTTAACTTTTAATTTAAGTTAATGTGTGCTTTTGCAGTTATTTGTTTTATGTTATAAAAGAAACACCCTAATGTTTAAAATATTTTAAAAAGCAAAGAAAACCTGTGTCTTGTCTTTTTTTAAGTTGGTCTATTTTGTTTTTACTGTCGTCCCTGGTCCTAGCTAAACATGCTTTTGCATGAGCAACGTGAGTAGACAGAAATCGCAAACATTAAGATGTGAAAACATGAAGTCATTGGCTCGTTTGAGTTTTTAGAACAAGTAAACATTCAATTTGCTTTGAAACATTGAGTGAATAGGTAATTAATCTAGTCTACCCAAATAACATGCAATCAATGTTGTGTAGTTATTTCATAGTTTGTTTCATTTTGAACAATTTAGTCTCTGAAAAAGTCAGTAGTAAAGTAAGTAGTTCACATCCATTAATTACAATCAGGGGTTTCAGGTTAGGTGCCTGTGATTATGTGGTGATGGGGGGAACCTGTCTTATTTAAACCTCTAGCATCTGGTCCATGCTACTCTCTTTCTATAGAAGTGTATTGTTTCATCTTGCAAGCTTGAAATTCTCTAAGGCCCTCAGAAAAGAAAAAAAATAATCAGTCTGTTGCACCATCTCTAATCATATCAAACAGACCCAGAGCTCCTGAGGATGTTTTTGAAAGGCTGGCTGTGAATTAGTGCTTTTTACAAGCTAAAACAGCTGGTTACAGATTAGGCTATGGGTGGACACAGCACAGGATTTCTGGAGAATATGGAATTTCCTACTGTGTAGGTACTGTCGATGAAAAGCATATGATCAAACATCTCCAAAACAAGTCCAGCAGCGACTGCTTTAATTACAACAGTTTTAACAATGAATTATTAAGGTATGGAGAATCTTCTCATACAGGTTCTCCACATTTGTTTTCCTGGGGCATGTGCAGTGTGGACGGTCTGTATAGTCAGAAATTTTGTGCTGCACACAGACATTCAAGTCTGTGTAGACCTTCATGGACTTGGATCCATGTAGAAATTTACGTCACACTTGCAGATATGCAGACACAGAAAGCATGAACTGGCCTTCACTGTAGATTTAGTTTTTTTACAAAGTTATGTGTTGTATGCTTTAAATATTATGCAATAATTTGTGGCGAGGCATGGCAGATCAGTCAAAGGATGCCACATGACATCTTGACAAATTGTAACATGTATTTTATATTGTGTTGCACCCAGACCATTTCATCAGTTGCTATGCTGATCAGTTTGGAAGTACAGTCATGATTTGATAATCTGACACTAAATGTAAAACCTTCTTTTATGTCGGATAGCAAGGCTGTCGGATTGTCAAGACGGAGGTCGAGATACAAGGAGGGCTTGGTGCTTGAAGGGTCATTTGTTAACTATTGTTCATAGTTGTTATAATAACTAGTAGGGCTAGTCCGAATACCATTTTCTGGTCTCTGGATACTCAGGCCCAATTAATGATGAATATCTGAATATTCGGTGCAGTCGAGGGGGGCACTTACACCCCGGGGGAGTGCTCCGATGGGGTGGAAGTGGCCGAAATGCACAGGCAGTACTTGGCTGCTGATGCCAGTTTAGTTAGCGGTCACACTTTTGTTTCCACCATCAGTGACAGGGGTGGCAACGCCATTCCCCCGCCACCACCACCATCCATGTTTACTTCCGTAAACACTGAGCACGCTCGCTGCGTGTGACGTCGTTGTGTCCTCTTCTGCGCATGCAGGACACTTTTGGGTTGTATGAAGTTCACACAGAGGATCACATACAAGTCACATTTAATTGGAAATGTGAACGAACTCGCAAAAAAATCGGATTTCACAAAAAAATATCTGAATTGAGCATTAAGTCCACAGTCTGAATGTAGCCAATTTCTTGGATTGTTAAGTCAGATAATTCGCCGTTATCCTTATTTGTGACATAGAATGTCATGTCAGAGTTGGAATCCAAGGCTGTTCGTATGTTGGCTGTTTTTCATGGGTTCTGTTTGTTTTTCTGAAAAACCTGTCGGATAGCAAGGCTGTTGGATTGTCAAGACTGAGGTCGAGATACAAGGAGGGCTTGATGCTTGAAGGGTCATTTGTTAATTATTGTTCATAGTTGTTATAATAACTAGCAGGGCTAGTCCGAATACCATTTTCTGGTCTCTGGATATCCAGGCCCAATTAATGATGACTATCTGAATATTCGGTGCGGTCGAGGGGGGCACTTACACCCCGGGGGAGTGCTCCAATGGGGTGGAAGTGGCCGAAATGCACAGGCAGTACTTGGCTGCTGATGCCAGTTTAGTTAGCGGTCACACTTCTGTTTCCACCATCGGTGACAGGGGTGGCAACGCCACTCCCCCGCCACCGCCACCATCCATGTTTACTTCCGTAAACACTGAGCACGCTCGCTGCGTGTGACGTCGTTGTGTCCTCTTCTGCGCATGCAGGACACTTTTGGGTCTTATGAAGTTCACACAGCAGATCAGATACAAGTCGCATTTAATTGGAAATGTGAACGAACTCGTGAAAAAAATCAGATTTCACAAAACAAATCTGAATTGAGAATTAAGTCCCACAGTCTGAATGTAGCCAATTTGTTGGATTGTTAAGTCAGATAATTCGTCGTTATCCGTATTTCTGACATAAAATGTCATGTCAGAGTTGGAATCCAAGGCTGTTCGTATGTTGGCTGTTTTTCATGGGTTCCGTTTGTTTTTCTGAAAAACCTGTCGGATAGCAGGGTTTTCAGTTGTCGGATTATCGAGTCACGACTGTATCACATATCTTGTATATGATCACTATTCAAAGATTTAAGAACAAAGACCAATTATTTTAAACACCTGTCCCATTGGTCTTTAAATTATGAATAATTTGTAAAACAGAATTAGTTTGTGAAAATGCATTTTTTAATCCATAGAAACCTAATCACCTGTAAAGTACCATGAATATACTTTTGCAGCACTGTCTTCTACTGCACTATAACATGAATTCTAAATACTCTCAGCCCCACTGTAGCAGCTTCTCCATAGACCGTAGTACAGTGATTGCTTTGGGAGGCAGCCAGCAGATCATCCCTCCTGCAGAACCACCACACCATCAGGTCCCACAGTGGAGTCCCTCCCCTGTGGAACATCACCCTTCAGTCAATAGGTATATGTGTGTTTAATCATGAAATGTTTTGTTTTAAGTCAAAGTTGGAGCACTAAGGTATGTTTTATTTGTGCTAGTGTTTGAAACTCATTCTTGTTAATTTCCAGTGACCGAGCTGGTGAGGAATTCCTGAGATGCATTGCAGACAACAAACCTCTCCCAGACTATCTCAAAGGGAACATGGCATACAACCTGGCTGATGCATTTAAGTCAGCCAATGTTCTAAAAGAAGCGGTCAAGTCAGATCTTAAGTACCAGACGCATGTGGTCAAGAGCAAGAGCCGTAGTCGAAGCCGAAGTCGTGGAAGAAGCCGTGGAAGAAGCCGTGGCAGGTCTCGAGCCAAAAGTCAAGCACGAAGCAAAAGCCGAGCACGAAGCAAAAGCAGAGGAAGGAGCAAAAGTCGTGTTCGTGGGAAGAGTCGCGCAAGAAGCAAAAGCCGGCCTCGAAGTAGGAGTCGGAGCCGCAGCAGAGGCAAGACGACCAGCCATGTACGGAGCAAGAGCCGAGCCCGAAGGTCCAAGTCACGAAGTGGCAGTAGTGAGAACAACAGTGGCAATGACAAAAAGAGAAAGAGGAGCCCCGACCACAGCGGCAGCAGCAGTAATATCCTCACAGGGAGCAGTCTGTTGGAAGGACTGAAGATGGTCATGAACAGCAAGGAGCTGGAAGCACGTCTGCCCACTCTTAAAGATGCCATCCTCACAATTAAGGTAGGCCTCATCATTCATTCAATTCGTGTTTCAATCTGTGTACATTTTCACAAAAAAATTGTGAAGATAGTGTGTTTGGGTACACCCAAGTGACATCAGCTGTACTGCCATAGACATCCACAATCCAAGAGTTCTGTGTGAAGCAATACGTTCTGCATCAACTACACTAAACAAAAATATAAACGCAACACTTTTGCTTTTGCTCCCATTTTTCATGAGCTAAACTTATTGTGGCCAGCCTAAGGCACCCCTGTGTGTTAGTCATGCTGTCTAGTCAACATCCTGATATGTCACACCTGTGAGGTGGATGGATTATCTCGGCAAAGGAGAAGTGCTCCCTAACACAGATTTAGACAAATTTGTGAACAATATTTAAGAGAAATCGGCCTTTTGTGTACAGAGAAAAAGTCTCAGATCTTTCAGTTTAGCTCATGAAAAGTGGAATCAAAAACAAAAGTGTTGCGTTTATATTTTTGTTCAGTGTATGCAGAGCAGCATTTGCCTTATAGCTTGTTTTCCACTGAAAGTTCACCAGAAGAACATCTATCTGTACAGCTGTATGTTTATTGTAACTTGACTTTAAAGATGATCGATTTATCTCTCAGTGGGTATATGACTATGACCAGTCACATACTAAAAGGGGTTTTAACTGCGTGATAGGATGCAGCTTAGTGACTATTAAGAAATTACCAGATTTCTTGTATACATGTCAGTAAGAAGAAGTAAAGTGTTGATTGTAATGTCTTTCAAATTCTCCTAATATCAGAAGTTGTTTGTAGAATACTCAGAACTCCAGTTATGTCACATTTTTATTCACTGTAGACTCATCATTTTTCACATCAATAAAGAGTCCTACACCTCTATAGAAACAGCATAACAATGGCTGAAGGTACAGAGCACGACAGACTTATCATGCAATGAGTTCCAAATAATTTTTAAAAAATCACAAAATGGAAACTTCAAATTTTTTGATTACTTTACAAAACTTAAAGACACCTGAAATTAACCTCTGTCATTTTTCCAAGTACCAACAGGTGTTAGCACAACTGAACGGAATGGTGACTCTACATACTACAAATATTTGACTACTTACACTTGTAATTTGTTTCCATGCTTGCCTCCTCTCTGCTTAGTGTAAACACAGCCTGCAGTCCCTGAATTTTTGTAATGTGACTGTTGGTCACAGCTAAGTCACTAAGTCCTTCATGTCTGCATTTCAAAGGAAACGTAGAATAATATGTAAGTTAAATATCACAATTTCAAGCCTAGGTTTGATTAAGCTTTCTGACAGTCACAGATGAGTTATTGGATGGTTGGAATGTTGGAAATCAGACGTTTGTTTCTGTTTTTACAGTTTCTGGTTCTGAGAAATTGGAAAGTTTTGGCATTGTTTTTTGTTGTTATTTATTTATTTTTATGTTTACAGTCCTCTTAAATCTATCGGCGAATTTTGACATTCAAAGAAAGTAAATGCAAATATTACCACAATGCTCAATACAGAACAAGTTCATTTTCTGACATGTTAGCTGGAAAGCCATGAATGTCTCTACATTTTTAACTTTTCTACAAACCAATGTTCTTCCACCCTCCACACTGGAAATTCCATGTAGCAAAGAGACTCTATGGAGAGGCTATGACTTCCAGGGAGAAAAATGTTCATTTTTAAAAATGTAAATCCTTAAGATTAACGCTCTGTAACAAATAGCAACTAAAGCAATAGTAATTGTTCTTTATTAAAATGATAACGTTTTTCAAAATGTTTGTACACTCAAACAGTATATTTTGGCTTTATTTAATGTCTGCAAATGTTACAAGTTCCCATCTAAAATACAGATTCCAGAAACATGAGGTTTAATTCAGTTTTTCATAAATGCCTTATGCAGCACTGGATAAACACTTCAGGCTGTTAGACTTGCACTGATGTGGAGATACTCTGGAAGTATATGACTGCATCCCTGAACAACTCACTAGTAGCTAAGCAGCATAATAAAGCAAGAAAGCTATGTGTTCAGTGTATCTAACTGCTGTAAATTGTTCTTCACAGGCCTCAGATGAAAGGAAAAGCGTTGGCTGTGTGTCCACTATGCGTCAGCAACTTGACAATCAGGACGATTCCACATCGCTGGAGAACGACAGCATGCTGCTTCCCCATGACAGAGTAGTCAGTGACTTCTCTTGGCTCCAAGGGAATAGTCAGGAGGACTTTTCAAACCAGAGAGCAAATGAGCTTGAAGATGAAGAGTCGTTCTTGTATGGGAATCAGTGCTCGTCCCAGATTGGAGGACAGGACAAGCTACAGAAAGTGGCTGCTCCTGGCAGTCAGCAGCTTCAACAGAGCACGTCCTTATTCAGTAGCTTCGAGGATCTGCTTGATCTGAAGCAACCCCTTCAAATTGCTTCCTCAGCCTCAGCTTCCTCCAGTCTGGAAGGCATAGAGTGTGAGAAAATTAAGAACATATTAAGGAGTCTGGGAGCTTCATCAGACATCAGCGAAAGCATAAAGAAGGAGGTGAAGGAGTTTTCTCCTGCACTTCTCAGTTCAGACACAGCAGCAAGCTTGGCATTGCCAGCACTGAGTAACCCGAATGTACGGCAAGCTCTGGAGTCTCTACAGTCTCTGATTAAAGGTGAGAGTCATCTTTTGAATGAAAGCTTTAACCTCATCACTATACTTCTTATGTGGCAGTCTTTTATATTTTACAAACTATGCCTTCACACTGTGATCACTTTTATTGATTGTTTTTCTATTTTGTGATTGACTTGTGGTTGTGACAGATTTGAAGTGAACCTCTTTGCAGCTACAAATCATTACACAGTCACATTGCATTTTAAAAGTTTTTATTTATTGCATTTCAAAAACAACATCACAACTTCAGCATTATTAAAAAAGCATGAAAATTTACAAAAATACTTTGCAAAAGAAAATTCAGTGGTCGTGGAATGGATCTGATGACAATAATGGAATATATGCAAGGCATATAATATGTTGAGAAATTAATTAATTCCATTTTCTTAAGAGATTAAAGGATCATTGTAAATGAATTGCAGTATGAGGAATTATTTTTTACAACCTGCTGGTAACTACTGCAAAAACAAAGTATAATAAATGTATTCTGCTGTCATATTTTTTCTTATTCTTTTTCTAAATCAACTTTATTGTCAGTTTTGCCATATTTACAACATACAGAGAGAAGAAATTGCAATACTCCGAGGCCCCACGGTGCAAAATGAACATAGAAACCCTGAAAAAGAAACCCTGGAAGTCCAGAAACCCTGAAAAAGAAAAATACAGAACAATGGCCAGTAATAGAATTACCTGAAGGATGGCAGCAAACTCAAAAGTCTGCTGAGGTGTAAAATCAAGTGTGGAGGCATTGTTAGTGTGTAAACATATGTAAAAATGGATCTTTGTATGCATTGTTTTTGGTACATGTTTACTGACCTGTTGGTATGTTTTTAGACCTATAAGATGACGATGCGTCAGGCTGATTTTCGATCTATATCATCTCAACTTGTCTAGGATAAGATTCTGTGAGAGCTGACAGGGTACCCTGTCAGTTGGAAACTAAAACCACCTGGTTAAATAATTTATCCTCTCCGTTTTTATTGTTTAATGTTTTCAATGGAGAATTTATAACATTCAGTAATTATTGTTCTTTATTCCTGAAGCGACAAAGGAGAAACGGACAAAAAGTGATGGCACACCTCAGTCATCATGTGATAAACAGAAGGTAAACAATTTCCAAGCAACATCAGGGTGATAAAAGTGTACAAATGAAAGAGTGGCAGCCACTGAATGAACCGATTACCACATAATGTGTGTTTCTCAGGCAGGAGACCCTGGGGAAAGGAAGAGAGAGATACAAGCCACAATCAGTAAAATGGAATCTATGGCGAAACAGCTGCAGAAGTTGTTAAAACAGGATGGTAATGTGATTTTCTTCTTAGTTTTAGTCTGTTTTATTGTCTCCCACAATCTGAAATACTCCTTGTGTTTCACTGCTTTTCTGGTCTGTTTGCAGGATTGGATTTTCTCACTCCAGTGATTGGGTTTTATTGCCAGAATTGTGAGGAGTTTATTGGAGATTTGAATTCTGCTTTAAACCATGCAGACATCCACCACAATAGCAACTCCAGCAGTGTGAGTACCTACTTTACATACAACCTTGTGGACAAGGCCAGTGATACTTTCAGTTATTTCTTGTCAACACATCTCTTAAAAGCCCAAAGCAAGAATGAATTAACCCTACCAGTGTTCACTTCTTCAAGTATAAATAGTCTTATTGGCTTGATTATACTATGATGTGGACACACATACAGACAACTGCAGACGCCATGGATGCAAACTTATTATGCTGGTTGACTAGTCTGCAGAAGTCCACTTTGTCAAGTGAGGCCAAGGATTAAGATCCCAGAAGCAGCCACTAACAAAGAACACTGGCATGGCGTAAGCAATATAAAAGACTCTATGATAAGAAATGCTGTAATCTGGTGATTAAGTGTATCCTGGCCTAACAAGTGTGTCTGGTAGAGTGATTTGACTACTGAGGCTACTTAGTTGGGTCAACTATTAGAAAAAAACAAGGTATGCGTTTGGATTAAGGCAGTTGTTCTGGTAGATTAATTGTAGCAACTGGACTTGCTTGAGTTCCTTGAAGACGTTTTCACCTCTCATCGAAGAGGCTTCATCAGCATTCACGACTCACGTGACGAGGGGGAGGAGTAACAACCCCCAATTGAAACCGAAACTCAGGTGATAATGGCTCTTTTAGGATATAAGTATGTGGAACTCCCAACTACTCAGTCAGAACTGATGAAGCCTCTTGGATGAGAGGTGGAACATTTTCAAGGAACTCCAGCTACGATTAATCTACCAGAATAACCATGACCTGGATGACTGAGAATGTTCAGACATTAAGGCAGTGAGAAGCTAGGCGAGTTTCCTTGACACCAGCTTAAGCAGTTTTACAGAATCCTAATAGGTCAAGGACCTGTAGGCAGGTAGAACCTAAGCCCATCATTATCATGAACACACACACTAAAATTTATTTTACTCAGTCCCAAATACACCTTCTCAATGTCTTGTGTTTGACTGACGCTCTTCAATAACTACAGTGACCAATTGTTGTAGAAAAATTATGTAATTACTTAAAAAGAAAACAGTTTATTACCAAGTTTAAAAGATGTAGGTTTTTAGTAGAAAACAGGATAGATGATTCAGATGAACTAATGTAGAATTGGCTGTAGTCTTTAGGTTTGTAGATAAGAAAAATAAGGCAATATTCTGCAACGTCATATATTGTCAGTTAAAAGGGGATGTCCATGCCCTCGTTGTCGTCTCTCCCTGTGTGTAATCGACAAATTATAAACAATTTACCCAATTTAAAACTGATGAGGCAGAAGACAAGGGAAATGCATGTAAGAAAGTGTATTGTCGATCAGTTGTAGTACCCGTTTGCCCTTTACTGTTGGAGGAGATGTAAGACTGCAGGTCATTTGCTGTGTGGTATACTGTAGCGACCCGTGTCGGTGGTCACGTGGACTATGGGCAGTTCCATGGTTGCAAACGTTAAAAAAAAAACAAAAAAAAAACGCGTGAATGTTAATGTCCTGAAGTTGCTGTCGAGCCTTTGATTTTGTTGTTTTTACACTGCAATATGTATTTTTATGTGTGTCTAGCAAAACGTGCCGATGGACAAGCATACTAAAGACAGCAAAGGACACACGCATCGTTGCAGCCCCAAGAGAAACCAACACCCACAGCCCTCAGACAGCAGAAATCAGACGAGCTACAGTAACCATGGAAATTCAGGAGACCACCAGAACAGCAGAGACTTGCAAAAAAACTGGAGGCACGAGAGAGATCACAAAAGCCAACATCCCACTGATGACCACAGAAGCCACAGGGCTGAACAGGACATCTCCTTGAAAGACGAAATGAAAAGGGAGAGGATGCTTATAACAGTGTCTCGCAGACTGACCCCTCCACCTTTAGACATCAGGATCAAGGGGGACATGAGCAAGGAGGTAAACAAGGCGCAGGCCATTGAAAGCCATAGCAAAAAAAAAGCAGAAGATGCAAACAGCAAGGGAAAATCATCTAATGACAGCAGGGACAAAGACAGAAAGGAAAAGACTGAAAGCAGTGACAGTAGTGATACAGATCAGAGAAAATCATCTAAATCAAAACAGCCAAAAAAAAAGAAGAAGAAAAAGAAGGAGAAAAAGAAGAAGAAGGGGAAGGCAGATAAGTCCTAAGTGTTACTTGTCATTTTTTGTACTAAAGTGATCCCTGAAACGATGTTAGCACCTTGTTGCTGCCCAAATTTTTAAGTGCAAGTTTTATCACTACGCTTCTCAATATACTGTTTTCTTTTCTCTTCCCAATAAGTTCTCATTGTTCTGAACAAAAGAGGGCGGTACTCCTATGAGTGATTCTCCATCATATTTAAAGGAACCCTCTGATGTGTTGGGGAGTGCATTTGATAGTTGGAAACTATAGTCAAAAGAGGACATAGGTGTCTCTTTTATCTTCGTGCGTCTAGTAAAGGAATAGATTAAAGTTAGAACCAATATTTGCAGGTTTTGAGTCATTGGAGGTCATTTTCCTCTGCTGATAAAGCTGCTCCTGGTGTTTGTGCCTAATCCAGGTGAAATGCATTTTGGTCTGATCCCTGAAGTAGACACACGGCGATGAAACCAATTTGATTGTTCTCATTCAACCATTGGTAAGTAGCCACACAGGTGCATGGTCCATAATGTGAGTGTGCTCCCCATGTGACAGTGGTTCCCTATTGATTTTAACACAGCAATATGTCTGGCCTGCTTCAGTTATATATGTATACATCCTGGCTTCACCTTTTTTGTTAAATGTTTCAGCAAAGAAACTGAATTGTCCTTGTCAACCCATTTATCCTTATTGGTAGAAGTACCACCAGTCACATATTTCCAAAGGACCAACTGCATTGTAGTGTCAGGAATGTGATATGTGTATTAGAAATGGTATTATTGTTTACCTTTTTGTCTGAAATACAAGATGACACACACATCTGTCTCCTGTGGTGACATGTAAATGAAAGGAAAAAAATGTGTGCATTCAATAAAATATGTCTAAAGGTTAAATCTTGTGTATATTTCAAGTGGTCATGAGTTTTTTTGTCTCTTTGCAGCACATGTACCTTAATTACTAAAAACAAACAGTCAGAATTGTGAGTGATAGAAATGAACCAGCTCTTCAGAGCAACTGGTACACGGTGTCTGATAACAAGAACAGTGGCTGCTTTCTGTTCATGTGTCTCAGGCAGTTATGACAGGCAACTGTGGTTTTTCACTGCAGACAATTTTGCAGGAAAAGCAGAGGTGTAATGATAAGAGTCAAATGATGGCATTGCATTCAGGTGATCTAGTTCCAGGAACCCCTTGTTGTGCATGCTGACTTCCCAGTATGTTTTGTTGAGAGACATAATTAAACTGAAGTATTGTTTATGAAACTTGGTTCATCTGTATTCTTTCCTTTTCTCAGTGGTGGAAGAAGTGTTCAGAAGCCGGTATTAAAGATTAGGGGTTATTGAGGTACCTTCAAGTTTAACCAAGGATTCTCAGTTGTATGACAGTAGTTCACTCCTTACCGAGGCAACCTATGTTCTAGATAACACAACAATGCATGGGGAAACACTTCCTACTTTTTCCTGTAGAGCTGAGGGCTGTACTACAAAGCAAGCTAGACATAGCCAGGCTTTCTTTGTGTAAGCGGGCTCAACAATAACTAAAGCCCCAGCCAGAGATTAGGGGTATCATAAAGGTGGTTATCAACTTTCTTTGTTAACTCAGACTTTCTGCTTCAGATTCTGTTCACATAAACGGGGCGTTGAACGCGTCACATGACTCTTCTTCTGCACAAAATGAAAACAATCATGTGTAGCTGCTTCAGTCAACACGTTGTTTTAATGGAGAACAATGAGTAATATAACAATTTATGATGGTAAAAAGTGCCACTACTGCAAATGGTGCAAGACAGAAACGCTGATAGAAAACTGTTAGACGTGTTAATATATAATATTTTACGGATGCAGCCGCTTATTTTTAACTGACAGCTGCACGTTAAAACTTTAAACTTAATATATTTAAACCTGATCTTGCATTGAAGTGCATTTAGGTCTGACACTGTCCCAACATGGCAGGATATGACTTTAATTTTTGGCCAAATCAAAGTGAAATTAATGTTGATTGAATATTCTCTCTAATAGATACCAGTAGAATAATCCATTTTCTGTGTTCTATCAGCTGCAGTACCAGCAGAGTAAATTGACTTGACAGCAAATCAGAGCAAAACATGAAAACATATTTATGTGATTTCTGCATCACCAACTAAATGCACGTCTGTTTCCCATGGAAACGTGATATTTACAGTGTGTGATACTGTAACTACAATGCTTCATTCAGTGATAGTAGTAATGCACAACTTGATATGTTTGCAGATAAAGCACATTCCCTCAGCTGAGAATCTGTATTGCTCATCAATAATAGTCAGGAAATGATTTGGTTAAAGGGAGACGCTGTTTCCAGATGCTTTAAATCTGAAACTCTGAACATAACCTGTTTCCGACCAGGTTCGCTCCACAGCATCAGTTGCCATGGAGATCTAGCAGGTTAAAAGAGAGCCACCTTTGTGATACTTCACTGAATGAAGCCGTGTAGTTATAGTATCACACACTGTAAATATCACGTTTTCATGGGAAACAGACGTGCATTTAGTTGGTGATGCAGAAATCACATAAATATGTTTTTATGTTTGGCTCTGATTTGCTGTCAAGTCCGTTTACTCTGCTGGTACTGCAGCTGATAGAACACAGATTAGAAAATGGATTATTCTACTGGTATCTATTACAGAGAATATTCAATCAACAACATTCATTTTACTTTGATTTGGCCAAAAATTAAAGTGATATCCTGCATTATGGGACAGTGTCAGACCTAAATGCACTTCAATACAATATCAGGTTTAGATATATCAAGTTTAAAGTTTAACTTTAACGTGCAGCTGTCAGTTGGAAATAAACAGTAAAATATTATATATTAACACATTTAACAGCTTTCTACCAGCATTTCTGTCTTGCACCATGTGCAGTAGCAGCAATTTTTTGCCGTCATTAATTTTTATACTACTCAATGTTCTCCATTAAAACAACATGTTGACTGAAACAGCTGCACACAATCGTTTCATTTTGTGCTGAACAGGAGTCACATGACACGATAAAGGCCCCCTTTTATGCGAACAGAGTCTGAAGCAGAAAGCCTGAGTTAACAAAGAAAATTGATAACCACCTTTATGATACCTGTAATCTCAGGCTGGGTTTTTCGTTTTTGTTGAGCCAGCTTACATGAAGAAAGCCTGGCTATGTCTGACTTGCTTCGTGGCACAGCCCTCATGTAATACAGCTAAAACTGTCTTACGCACCGTAATAACAGGCTACAGCTAATAGAAAATACAATCATAAATATAGTCACGTCTACTTGTGCCTTTATGATAAGGCAGTGACACTGATAAACACATTAACATTCACACAGGAATATATAATGTGGTCTTCTTTGGTCATCTGAAGTCCGTATGCAAATGTGCTCAAAGCTAGATTCAGAAATCCCAGGTTAACTAAACGAGTTAATAACAGGCATCACACTTAAACTGGCTACAGCTGTTAGGCTTCGTGAAGCCAGATAACTAAAACATATCCTGTGGCCTGTTCTACGAAGCAGGTTCAACATACCCAGGATTTCCATTACTTATCTGGCTTCACTTAACCTAACAACTGCAGTCAGAACAAGTAGCCTTATGAAGCTGGTTATAAAAGCCAGTTTTTTTGTCCTTTTTGCTATTGTAGAGTGATGCAATCCTAGAACAGGAACAAAACAGAAAACACTGAAGCCTCAAAGCCTGATTGTTGACCCTAAAATATGTGCAATAAGCCTATTTATCAGTTTGAATATGTGTTTTTAAATCTGTTCTTCACTTGCTTCCAAAACAGCGTAACACCAGTAAACAGCTAACAGACTAAAAGTGTCTAACAGCCATAAGAATTTCAGACTTAATGTGAGATTACTGAATTCATTTCATTCATTTTTTATTACCTTAAGTAATTTGTCATTTGGTAAATAGTATTAATGGATAGCATCTGTAATTTTGTTATACAATCTTGTGATGTATAGTGATAATTAAACCAAATCTTCATGAAGTTGTACTCACTTTATAGCCTTTTATACTCTATGCGAGTCAGCCCACTTATCGCCTTGAACTATCTTTTAGTGTTCCTTTTTTACTCGCTCTCAGATCATTTAACCGTGCAGTGCTGCAACCGAAGCAATAAAACCAGTGCACACCAGAAGAAACTCAGCAAAACATTCATTTAATAGAACAAACAGTTGTAATAATAGTCAGATCTACTCGTGCTCTAATAAATTGGTAGCAACATCAATTAACCTGTTAACATTCACTCAGAATGCACCTTTTTTTTCAGCGTTCTCTCCTGCTTTAGCTGCTGCAGCTGTGTTACCTTTAGGCCGTATTATGTGCGTAACAGAAAAGTCACAGGACTCAGTCAAAAGCATCAATAACCCAATCACATATATCGATCCAGATCCTTAAAGACATGGTGTTACACTATTTAAAGTCTTGTCAAATGTTTATTTTTCTTCACTTTTTTTCTACATGACACACCTTCAAGTACAGAAACATAAAGTAAAACTGCATCAAAATGAATGAATGTTTGTATTTAAAACTGTCTTTTCATTCTGATCCTTGCCACGTTATAGCTAAATGTATAGATGTTGTGCTCTAACTAACCAGATGTAATTTTTGAGATAGATTTTTCTGAGAACTGTTGAAAAATAATAAAATAAAGCTATCCCACTTTGATAACGTATTCTACACTTGTAGGCAAATATCTGATGCCAACACGGGACGTGACCCAATGGGCCAGAAGAACGATTCATTTTTTCAGCCAAGGTGAGAAATTGTGTTGAAAGGAGGAGAGAAGCAGCAGAAATCTCTACTTTGCTGCAAAATACGTTGAACTGGGTTCTCTCAGATGCATGTGTCCAGCAGAAGGGTACAATCAGAAGATGATTTTTGCTCGCTAGTTGATGTTTATGTTTACCAATCTGTCCTAATAAAGTGAAATGAAGACAAACTTAAGTCTGGTCTGGTTCTTCATTTGATTTTGTGTCTAAAATTTGCATGATCTAAAGAGAACATAGTTACAGAAAGATGTCCAATAACAGTGTAGTATATTGTGATGTATCTTTGTGTGTTAGAGGTTCTTCAATTGAAGTATCAATACAACACTGAAAACTGTGTTACAAATAATGCTGCTTAGATAAAATTATTGTCCAAAAAATGTAATTTAAATATTAAAATTAGAAGTGTTGAATGCAGACTAATGATACCCATGTTAGTGTCGCTACATATTATTCTGTGCTTCTGGTGTTTTAACACAAAAGCAAAATTTAAACACTGATTTCACTTTATTATATGCTGTTGAGTTTAATGTGTATAAACATAGATATAAATATATTTTTATTTTTAATAGGATTGTTGATAGTAATTTAATTATGCTGCTGCCAAACAGCCAGAGAAAAGAAAGCCTCCTGATTACAAAGGGCTTCATGGCCTGAGGTTGATTTTGAACTGCTTGAATGGTCAAAGTGACACAGGTCCCTGATGAGATCAGTTTGAGGGAGAGATTTCATATTGCCTGCTTCATACAGCCGAATAAAAATATTGTGTAAGTCTGCAGCCGATTCTGAGATCATGGATCAGAGTCATTAAGCACAAGGAACAAAATACAGTGAAATAACAAGAAGTCCCATTGTAGTTTAACACATTTTATAAAACTTGAACAAATTGTCAAAACAGCTAAAAGTAGTGATTAAACAGTTTAAATAGCGAGCTTAAAGTAATGCATAAACAGTTTAGATGGTTGAAAAGTAATATAAATGGTATGCACTGCAAAAAAAAAAAGAGATTAAACACTTTCTCAATTAGCTGTAAGTGGAGTATAACAGTTGAACTAGATGACTAAATGGTTGAAATAACTAGCTATATATTGCGTTGTGTGCTGCCTTACATAAATCAGAAAGCTAATGACAAAAGTTTTACTAACATATAAACTGTTTAATACAGTATGAGAAAGAAAACTAAATTGCCTCTAAAATAACTATGAATTTTAGTGAATGAAAAAGTTCTGTTTTGTTGGTGTTGTGTTTTGTTGTTGTTCTTTCTAAGTTAAACCAGAGGGCTGTCCGAGGAAGCCAGATTAGTGGGTTCGCGAGATATGTTGAGCTTAAAGTCAGAGTTTTCAGTATCACAAAGGTGGCTCTCTTTTAATCTACTAGATCTCCATGGTAACAGGTGCTGTGGAGCGAACCTGGTCGGAGGCAGGTTATGTTCAGAATTTCAGATTTAAATCAGCTGCAAAGAGCGTGTCCCTTTAACTCA